TCCTAATCCTTCCGAGTCCGTACCGTCCCGTTTAGTCGGACAGTGCATAAGTGACTGCCTACCGGGTCCAGTCCAACAGAGTTAGTTCTGCCCTAGGACTTAATGCTATAACTACGCCGGCAAGGCCACGGACGCAGCATCAGGGCTAGCCGAAACACGTAGTGTAAACCATGTTGCGTCTCTATCTGCACCAGGTGAAATCGAATTGACGATTTTACTCGGATCTATTACGCGCGTCTCGAAGACGCAGCATACATCGATTACTCGGGATTCCAGAATTCTAGCTAGTGAAGCCTGTTGCCCTATTTGGGACAAGGTTTGAGCAATAAAAGCTCCAATATATAATTTAGTTCGGGGTTTCAAAAGACTAGAAACAGTGTTTCGTGAGCTCAAACCGTAAGCTTCAGTGATGCGAATTCCTGATGAACTTCAGATTTTTTTGTGACACATGTTCATAGTTCCACGATCCTTAACGTTCAACAATATATAACTAAGATGAAATTGGCGGCTGAACACTAGAACAAAGTCACTAAGGTTAAGTGGAAATTACTTAGTGGAGTCTGCACGAATCGGTGATTCCATGCTACACAATCCTTTTTGGATCGAGAGTTACTGTAATACCTATTTCAACATATATTGTAATGGTTTTCAAAAGGAACATTACTAACTGTCACAACAGGACGAGTCAGTAGAAACAATATGAGCTGAAGGAGGACATATGATCACCATCTATTAGTTGTGAACTCCGTAGCCCATTGTTTAAAAAAGAACCTGAGATATGACCTACACTCTTTGGAGTGGGAAGGTCAAGAAACTCATCATTGACGTCTGGCTGTAACATAGACAACATTGAATATGCGGCACTCGCGCGATCTAAACTAACAAATATTATAGCACTGAAATGCATCAATAGGTCACTTTATACTCAAGTCATACTGACAAAAGTAATATTCAAGACAGCCAGAAGAAGATAAAGGCTAAAGTCACCTGGTTTATGAGTCCTGGAACACGTGGTTCCTTTCGTACATTATTGTTATCAGGGTCCCTCTAATGAAAGCTTTCAGACCAATATAGTTCCCTTGTAGACTAGACAGGATCTGAATATGTCACAATTTCAGGGTTCGACATTGCTTTAGTCTGTAACATTCGAGAACAACAAGCCATATCACGATTCAGGGATGCATGAGATGGAAGAAGTATTTGAAAGATAGTTGGGGTGTCGAGATGTGAGTGATCTATACGATCTAGTTGTTGCGAATACGTGAAGGACTTCCATTAACCCTGTTAGACTAATTTAAATCTCTGATCTTGACAGGATTCGCCAACTTACTATTACATTGTGCAGTGAGAATTACAAAATAATTATGGCCTACACCTTGCAAAATTTTGGGTTCATTAGAATTTGTTCCCTACTTATACTTAAAAAATATCGACAAAAGGATGTGGTGAGATCCCAGGAACCGTGAATAACGAACAATTAGAACGATTTAAAGTTTTTTAAACGATCTAAGCTATAGGTAATGTTTGGAGAGGGAATCTAACAATAATTCCGACAGATTAAATATTCGGTAGCCTGTAATTACCATTTCGGAAGATTGCCACTTTCACATTCTCTTGCTCTAGGTCAAGCTTATATCAAGGCTAAGACTAAACATTTCTATTCTGAAGATCTTTCTTTTTAATTTCAGTCATAAAACATAATTTCTTTTAGTGAAAAAAATCATTCGAAATATTTGGATTTTGATCGCTTCGTTTAGTTGGTTGTTTCTACGGTATACGATGTAGTGGTAATACGAATGTTGAACGTGTTGCATGTTTTCTCTGAGTTTCATGTATATATCTGTGGTTTCACTAAGTATTATTCTGCTGTTCCTATACTCAGCAGTCGCATGTAAGTTTGAAATTTATCTGTAACGGTAGTAATCAGTTACCTGTACTGGTCAACCATTAAGATTTGGAGAAAACTGTTCCTATGTATGTCATTGTTTGGGAGGTGCATGTGAAACAACTTCAGATAGCGTTGGGTGTAAATTTGGATCTTGCAGTCCTGGCTATCTCGGCTTTCCTGCTTGTCAGGATGGTAAATGAATTTCAGGTCTACTTCATGTTTAACCTAGCATGTCCTACCGGTACTTTCGGATTAAATTGCTCACAAAGTTGTAATTGTGAGCCACAAAAGTTATGTAATCACATTAATGGAGTATGTAATGATGGAAATAAGTGTAGTAAGGATTTCTATGGAGTTGGATGCACTAAAAGTAAGTAAGTACTTATGATATATTGTTCCTAGTTCGTGCGAAAATGATTTCCCCTCCTAAGGTTTACAGCGATTGTGAGTTCCTTCAAATTTCATGGCCAGCTTTCGATAGCAGCTACTATATTGGACCATCAAACATTGTTCAGTACACGTTAGTTTCTCTCATTTTATTATAAGAATGTAACCAGTGTTTTGTTCAGGTCTGTTTTCTCAAATTTCTCAGTTTACCAATCAGTTAATGCGACCCTAACTCATGGGGATAATTATAACCTCAAATTTTCTCACGATAATTTATCTGTCCCTTTCATTTTTTCCGTTAGAGCAGATTTTCTAGTTTCAATTCTAACTGATGAGTATATTGTTGAAGGCGTTCCAAGCCCTGAATCATCCCCTTTGGAGATTAAATGCCCAGGTACCATTCTTGTGCTTGGCTCGATTTTTCATTCTTAGGTTTATTTTTTAACAGTCCGCTTTGTTTCACAATTAAATTTTAAACAAGATTATTCTTGGTTTACGTAATTATATAAAAAGCCATTTATTCTCTGTACATTTGATGGTATAAATCGACTACATGGTTTGATTATCATAGGTTTTTTAGAAATGCACTGAAAACTGGTGTGTCAGTAATAACACAGTGGTTTAAAAACTTCAGCAGTTTATAGTTTTTGACCATAATATTTTCCTAGACTGCACATTTTCCCCTGCCTTGGTTCACTCTATTTGTAAAAGTGTTATCTTACCTGGGTACTTACTTTAAAATGAGTTGAATGTGTGGAATGTGTTATGAAATAGTTAGTTCGAGTGCTTTGAATAACAGTTTGCACTTATTAATCAACGCATAAAGGGAACCTGAACGTACTGTTCAATCGACATGTTATGACTAAGGCACTTGTAGATTATTATTATTTAATCTTGTTCATCTATAATATCTTCAAAACATGTACTTACATATAGTTTCTGGAAGCACCATAAATATTTTGTGATTACTAAAGGATGAATATACCATTATATAGTTGAATTCAGATGCAATGTGCTAATTTTGTTCAGGTACAGATCAACTGATTTATACAAAACGATGAATGACCTCCATGTCATTTCGAATCTTACTGTTCATTTTCTCAAGATAAAGTTGAAGGTTATCAGAAATAATTCGTCGATCTAACGGTCTTCTTAGTGTTTTCACACTGCAGGAAAAGAATTTTTCTAATGCAAACGTTGTCAGTCACATGTAGTTTTGCATGAAATCTGTTTTTGACGGCTAGATATCGAATTTGTATAATATGATGAACTGAGTATCAGAACTTTAATTTTGCTTTGAATTTGTTTTCAAATATAAAAGACTAAAAGAATCGCAAAAGTATGAATTTACTATGTGAGTTTCTCAGACATAAATTGTTTAGAAGTTATTTAACATTACTCATATTTAAATTGAAGTTCAAATAGTGATTGATTGAAATTTATTCAACACAAATACTAGTACAAATATGCTGTATAATTGGGTATACAGTCCAGTAAGAAATGCAAGTGGAAAATGTTTTTTTCTCAACATTAAATCAATTTGTTTATAAAGCTATTGATTGTTGTGCTGAGATATGTTAGGTGATGTAGAATTATTGATTGAAGTCTGGAAGATAATTTTATTCAGTGGCAGTAATTCATGGGTTTCGTGGTTTTAAGGTAATATCAATCTTCAGTCTTTGAGCTATGATGTTTGCACTTATTACGCTCCTATTCTGGTTTTTTCTTTTCAAACTGAATTTTAATTATTTGAAGATTTTTATTATCACTGATGTTACTATAATTGGAACCAGTGTGATTTTTTTTCGATTTGCTGGTGCTGAATGTAACCACATGCACCTACACACACTTGAATAATGTTCTGAGTTGCCAACAACTAAGAAACCAATTTAACTCACTGAAAAAAGGACATATTATTTTTCCAGATCTCTAGAAAAATACTTAAGGGTTTTACCTGAGCGTTGTTTCGAAAGTATTACCGAACCACTTATGACCAAAAAAAATCAGGTTACTCAGGACAAAATTCAATAACTGATTCATTTATCTGTTAGATTTCTGCAGGTAAGTTGCTGAAATACGTGGATGTAGGTTTAGCGCTAGTCGGCAATATTCAGTAACATATCTTCTATTTTCAGATGATTTGGCTATTTTGTTGTACTGGTTTTTAAAAGAATTATATGCCTAGTAAAACTTTTGGATAATTTCTCTACTAATAAGGGATAACAAAAGGGTTGTTATAATGAGGCATAATAATCCATACGTAGTAAAACTCAAAATTGTGTAGGCTAGCCTAGGTTATGCTTGGGAGCAAACGAGCGTTGATTCGACCTTTATAACTGTTTAGTACGATAGAGTTTTTGCTTGTATTTGAGCCTTTATTTTCTGAATGGTAGATGACTGATCGTTTATATCTTCGTAGTAATTACCATATTTTACCACAGAATCATTTAAACACTGCTGAGGTTCATCATCATAACCGATATTTAACTGTCCAATTCATCTTTAAATATCAGTATTCATGAAGGAAATATGTTTTGTGTTTATTATGACGGTTCAGAACTATACCAACTTATTTTAACTTGTTTGTAGGACAGTCAACGTCCAACATCAATATTGTTTAGTCAGTGATCTCATTGAAGAGAACGTGTATTTTTAGATGCATGAATACATCAACTATAAATGTTTGAACAATAATTCTTCATTTGTATTCACCTTCCCTGTTTAGCTCTTCCTTCCGTTTCCATTGTATCGAATAAAAACTCAGTAAATGTTCGCTGGAATGATCCACTGAATCCTTCAATTCAACGTGTTTTTATACATGCTACATTGATTGGAATTGGTGACTGCTTCAATTTGCCACAATCGGATTATTTAAATTACACTAAAACAGTGAATATTGAAGACAGAGATATCATGTTTCAATTAGATTACTGGCGGCGTTACATTGTTACAGTTTATGGTTTGACGTCTCGTGGAATTTCCACTAGTCCCTCAACAACTACCATCATGACTTCATTTGACAGTAAGATTTTCCAAAGTTTCTATTTTACTTACTTACTTACTTACGCCTGTCACCCCCACTGGAGCATAGGCCGCTCACCAGTTTTCTCCAACCAACTCTGTCCTGGGCTTCCCTCTCCAGTTCTGTCCAATTTTTGTTCATTCCTCTCATATCTTTCTCTATTTTTCGGCGTAATGTGTTCCTTGGCCTTCCTCTTTTCCTTTTGCCTTGAGGGTTCCATATGATGTTAGACGGCTGTTAATAAACACCTGTATCTTCTGGATGATGGCTTTGGTAGTTCTCCAAGTTTCCGCTCCATACAGTAGAAGTATCTTGACATTTGTAATGAAAATCCTGATTTTGGTTTTGGTTGAAAGATGTTTGCAGTTCCAGATATTTTTCAACTATAGAAATGCAGCCTTTTCTTTGCCAATCCGCGCCCTCACATCTGCATACGATCCACCTTTCTCGTCGATGATGCTGCCCAGATACGTAAAGGTGTTAACGTCCTCCAAAGCATGTTGTGTTGCATCAGAGAATTTTGCTTTTTCCATTATGTATGTTGAGACCTACTGCTGCAGAGGCCTCTGCTACACTGGTCGTCTTCTCTTGCATTTGTTGTTGCGTGTGCGATAGAAGAGCCAGGTCATCTGCGAAGTCCAGATCGTCCAGCTGCGTCCTAGCTGTCCACTGAATACCGTGCTTCTGCTCAGATGTCGACGTCTTCATAAACCAATCGATCACCAGTAAATGGAGAAAGGGTGAGAGTAACCAACTTTGTCTGACACCGGTCTTCACCTCGAAAGAGTCTGTTAGCTGTTCTCCGTGTACGATTTTGCAGTTGAATCCATCACAAGAGTTCCGTATGATGTTAACTATTTTTTCAGGCACACCGTATTGTCGAAGAAGCCTCCACAGTGTTTTCCTATCCACGTTATCGAATGCTTTCTGGTAGTCGATGAAGTTGATGTACAGTGGTGAGTTCCGTTCAATTGATTGTTCCACAATGATCCGTAATGTAGCAATTTGTCAGTACATGATCGACACTTACGAAATCCGGCCTGTTGATCTCGAAGTTTGGCGTATACAAAGTCCTTCATTCTGTTTAACAATACCCTGTTGAGGACTTTGCCTGGTATTCAGAGAAGAGTGATGCCTCTGTAGTTCTCACACTTGTTGAGATCGCTTTTTTTGGTATGTTGATCAGGTATCCTTCTTATCGATCTGATGGTACTTTTTCCTCATCCCAAATCTTCTTCAATAGGATGTTAAATATTTTCGCAGTTGCTTCTACATCTGCTTTCATTGCCTCTGCTGGAATGTTGTCTGGTCCTGCTGCTTTGCCGCTCTTGATTTGTCTGATGGCTATACTGATCTCCTCAATCGTAGGTGCGCCAATATTAATCGGGATGTCCGTGGATGCTGCTTCGATGTTGGGTGGGTTCAGTGGAGCTGTCCGATTCAGGAGTTTTTGAAAGTGCTCTACCCACCTATTTCGCTGTTCTTCAGTGTTGCTGATTACTTTGCCTTCCTTGCTTTTCACTGGTCGTTCTGGTTTACGATAGTTTCCGGCGAGCTTCTTTGTTGTTTCGTACAATTGTCTCAAGTTTCCTTCTCTGCTCTTGTTCGGCTGACATTCACTGCTGCCTTCTTGTTCCTCCTTTCTCCAATTTTTTTAAGGAGTACCAACAGAGATCCATTCCTTGTGATGGTACATTTTGTGACCCAGAACTTCGTGACATGTTGAATTGATTGCCTTCTTAATCCCTTTTCAATCGTTCTCCAATGTTGCTTCCTCTCCAATGAGTATATCGTGCAAGGCCTGGAACCTATTGGTGAGGACCGTCTTGAGTTCGTCGAGTTTTACGGTATCCCGAAGAAAGGCCGTATTAAACTTGTGTGATGTTGTCTGCCCCGCTGTCCAGTGCTTCTTTAGTTTCACTTTCATTTTGGCGACCAGCAAGTGGTGATCTGAAGCTATATCAGCTCCTCTCTTGGTTCTCACATCCTCCATGGTCCTTCTGAACTTGTTGTTGATACAGATATGGTCAATTTGGTTTTGAGTAGTGTGGTCCTGTGAAATCCATGTTGCTTTGTGAATGCCTTTGTGCGGGAATATTGTGCCACCGATGACCAGTTTGTTGAAGGCACATAGGTTTGCAAATCTCTCACCGTTTTCGTTCCTTTCTCCCAGTCCATTTCGTCCCATGATGTCTTCATATCCAGTGTTGTCCATTCCAACCTTGGCATTCAGGTCTCCCATAAGAATCGTCAAATCCTTTGGTGAACATTTCTCGACGATTGACTGCAGCCTTTCGTAGAATTGATCTTTAACGTCGTCGTTGTAGTCATTGGTAGGTGCATAACATTGGATGACGTTCATTGTGATGTCCTGTTTCTTTTTTTTGAAGGATGCTTTAATGATCCTAGGTCCATGAGATTGCCATCATGTCAGTGCCTTTTGTGCATGTTTGGACAGCATCAGTGCAACTCCTTGTGTATGTGAAGCATTTTCCTCTTCATGACCAGAGTATAACAGCAGTTCCCCTGAAGCTAGTCTCAGTTGTTCCACCTGTGTCCAATGCGTTTCACTGATGCCGAGCACTTCGAGGTTGTATCTTTTCATTTCCGCAGCAACTTGGAGTAGTCTTCCAGTCTCCCACAATGTACGAACGTTCCATGTACCTAAAAAAAGGTTGCTCATTTATCTATAGTTCTTCTAAGATTGAAAAAACAATTTCTTGTGGTTATTTAACTAGTTGACTTGTTTTTTATTATACGCATTTATTTAGCTGTGGCGCCATGTTACTAACGTCCGCATTCTTCTATGACTATACTTTGCACTCAAACCTTTTAGCTTAAGTTTCATTAATCAACTGACATTCTTCATCAAATAACATTACCCTTTAAAATATTCCGAACCAAGAGTTAAATAACATTCGTATTTAATCGTCTGTTATTTTTGACCGGTAATAGATACAACAGTAATTGACTAGAAAAGAAGAGCTTAGCTTCCACTTTAGGCCATACAAAGGCAGCCAATTGAAAAATACTCTCTAAAATAAGAAACATTGATCATTAAGAGATATCTACTCAAGTTTCAGAGTTGGCCTTATATACATTATTATAACATCCATGTTGCATGTTCTCTGTTTTTAGATCCGAGCGGCCCACCGTTAAATTTACGTCAACTATCTCAGTCGAATCAATCTGTTGATGTGACATGGGATAATCCTCTATGTAATCAACGAGGTGGACCGTTAGAAATGTATATCGTTAACATTTCGACATTATCGCCAACTAAAACACCAACTATATTAGCTAATTCAAAGAATATACCACCTATTGAAATTATTAATCTTACACCTCAAATTGTATATACGTTACAAGTGGCTTATAAAAATCCAATTGGTGTTGGACCATCAAGTCTACTACTTATTTCTCTTAATCGATCAAGTATGTTTGTCTAGAATTTCATGTTAAATAAAGTAAACCTAATTTTAATTAATGTAACTATATATGTTCTGTAATAGTAACATTATTAAGATTTAGATGAGTTTGAATGACCGTAAACAACTTTTTGATGTTGTATGTAGTTCATGTTGTCCTTCTCGACTATTACATATTATTACACTCGAATACTTTGGTTAAATTACTGGTTGTAGAGTAGCGTCATTTTAACTGACAGCTGTAAACGATCATCGTCGGAGTCACCCACTTTCCTTGTTCTTATTCACTTCAATAACAGACATGCTCGTAGATGTGATTTTAACCTTTGTCTAGCTTTATAGGTCCAAATTCTCACTTACAGGCTATTATGAATGTAGATAATGTAGTTCTGTTTGTTAATGATGTTGATAAAACGCCTTTCTCTAAATTCTTGGTATCAATTCAAGAATATTTAAGATGTATTACTTTAATCTTAAATAAAAATTACTGTTCTCGTTCTAGTCTGATGTCTAGTCCAACCATCGAGAATTAAGTAGTTGGGTGTACAGCGATCCCAAGGTTTTCATCAACCCTAGTAATTTAGTGGCAGATAAAATCTCAGTCTTGACACAAAACTGTTGTTTTTGCCAACCTATACCTGTGCAGCAGGTACAGGATGTCTCTCTGTTCATAAAATAACTAATTTACTATGCCTTTGTGGAATAAAAAAAATTGAGGCATGTTGTGATTCATGCCTAATCAACTGTCAAGATATAATTTTGCTAGTTAATATCAATAAGTAGTATAGAATAAAGTTGGTGTTGACTAGAATTGTTGGTCTGGGTCGGGAAACGAAGACTGAAACAGAAGTCTGCAAGATAATCATAATCCACAGATATTGGGTGACTTTCTAGAATTAATCTCAGTAGCGTAGATCTTCTGTTTATTAGCTGTTTTCTAAATCCTGAATTTTTTTTTTACCTTATTTCATGCCTTTTAAACAACAATTTTGTTCATTTTTTCAGATTTGAATTCCATTCTATTTTCCACTGTCACTTAAACTATTATTTCAAAGTCTTTAGTATTCGTCTTATTAATTTCCCTTCACCACGGTGATATATTATATGTGAACACTTAGGCTAATGTATATCTACACCATATCCAACGTTATTCATTATGTATAGATGATATTTAGCAAATCATTTACTTCGTAGTTAGATTGATGTTTTTACAATAAATGCTTTATAAAAAATTTTTCGATACACACCTATAATCAAATTTGTTTGGTTTTTGAGAAAATCTTAAGAGTTTTATATTATGTGTCTTCAGGTATTTCATATTGGGTAAAACTATTAGCTGTCTATCGATGTTGGATTTGAAAAGATTTCAATTAGTATTTTTCAAGTACATTGATTGTCAATACATTTTTTGGGTTTTATAAACACAAAGGATTTAGTATAATGAAATTACGTCACAATTCCGTATAATTTAGGGTAATTTTGCCACGTTCATCTGTAAAATTAGTTGAAATAACAGAATATTAAGCGCCTGTTAGGTCACTGTTCACTATAGAATATTCGCAAATTAAGAAAAACAGCGATTCTAATCGCATTAGGACACTAGCTGATGTTAGTGTAGAGGGAAGATCGATCACCAATGAAAAGTTTGATGAATGATACTTACTTACTAAAGCCTATACCCATTATGGAGCATAGACCGCCGACCATAATTCTCCTGGGCCTTGCTTTCTAGTTCTGCTCAATAGGTGTCCATTTTCATTTCTGTCTCTGTTGTAACGCTTGCTTAGATAATTCCCAGCTAAATCCTATTGCTTAGTATTCTCTGACCACAATACACTGGACATGTTCCCAATAATCAAAAACACGGTTGACCAGGAAAAGACTATATTCCAAATAGCAAGGCTAAATGGAATAAGAGCCGAACGCGAAGGCGAAGAAGGCAAAAATAGATACAACGTTAGTTTATTTATAGCATTTACATGAGAAGCTTCTGGATAGAAATCCACGTGATTGACCGGATTAGATTTAACCAATCAGCACGCAGCTAACAGTATGGGAACCTTCTACCCTGTTCTCCAAGATTCGATCAGGCACTGATTGGATAGGAAATTAGCCAATCAGCGCGCAGCAACGTAGTCATGCTTTAATTCCATCTATGTCCCACTAACAGTCTCCATTCCTCAACTTAAAGTGTATTTTGGTCTTCTTCTTTTCCTTTGGCCTTGAGGATTTCGAGTGACGGCTTGTTTTGTGACGTTGTCCGATGCTTTCCCTGATGCACGTCTTATCCACCTCCAGCGTTTCTTTCCGATTCCGTCTACAACTGGAATCTGATTTGTCCTCGCCCACACTTGGTTGGTGCTCAGTGTATCTGGCCAGAGAGCCCGAAGTATTTTGCGTACACAATAGCTGATGAACACTTGTATGTTCCAGATGAGGGCTTACGTGATTCTCCAAGTTCTCCCTCCCTATATAGTAGAACTGTCTTGACATTTGCTTTGAAAATTGTGACATTCGTGTTGGTTAATAGTTGTTGTAAGTTCCCGATGTTTTTCAATTTTAGAAATGCCATCGTTGATTGCCGATCCGTGCCTTCACATATGCATCAGATCCACCGTGCTCATCAATGATGCTGCCAAGATATGTAAAAGTTTCTACATCCTTCAAGGTGTCTCCACCAAGTATGATTTGGTCGGTGCATGTTGTATTGTATTGCACAGTCTTGCTTTTCCCATTGTGTATGTTGCAACCTAGTGTTGCTGAGGCTGCTGCTGCTGCTACAGTGGCCGTCTTCTCTTGCATTTGCTGTTGTGTGTGCGATGGAACAGTCAGATCATCTACGAACTCTAGATTATCCAGCTGCATCTTGATTGTTCACTGTATACTGTGCTTCTCTCCAGATGTTGACATCTTCATAATCCAGTCGATCACCAGGAGAAAGAGTGAGGGTGAGCAACCTTGCCTGACACCAGTCTCCATCTCAATCGAGTCTGTCGACTTTCCTGTATGGACGATTCTGCAATTTAATCTATCATAGGAGTTCCATATGATGTTGACTATCTCCGCAGGTACACCGCCATATCAAAGGAGGCTCCATAGTGTCATCCTGTCCACGTCATCAAATACCTTCTCAGGATGAATTAAGTTGATGTAGAATGGTGAGGTCCATACAACTGATAGTTAGTTCCACAATGATCCGTAATGTCGCAATTTGGTCGGTACACGATCCATCCTTACGGAATACAGCGTGTTGATCCCACAGTTGAGCGACGATTGAATCTTTCAGTCGGTTTAACAACACCCTGTCGAAGACGATTCCTAATATTGAGAGAAGAATGATGCCTCTGTAGTTCTCACACTTGTTGAAATCGCCTTTCTTTGGTATCTTGATGAGATGTCCTTCTTTCCAGTCTGTTGGTACTTGTTTTTCCTCCTAAATTATTTAGTTGCTGCTATTTCTGCTTGCAATCCATCAACTTGAATAATGTCTTTATTCTGCCTCACCACTCTTGATTTGTCTGATGACCTTGCATATTTCGTCAATCGTTGGTGGATCAACATCGATGGGAAGGTAACCGATTAGATCTAACTGACTGACCTATCTGTTAACCCTACTCAGAATCTTTTTTATTGCTATTATCCAGTTTAATCACGTGATCACAGTTTGTTCTTAACTAATCATTCATAATATGCGGTTTACGGATTTTAAGCTTACATCAGAATATTAAAACTAGGATGTACGCGATTCATATGAATAATGGTTTTATTCATCTCATAACAAATATGTCAAATGGATGATTTATCAAAGGTAAATAGGTTGAAAATTAGTTGATAGAATAAAATAACATTTCATCAATAAATTATGAATAAAATAGCCCACTGCCCATCACTATAGTATGGACAACTTGGTGTGTCTCTTAGCTGAGTACAGGAATCTGTAATTAGGAAATGAGTTGAATTGACGAGGTTGAAACTTGGAATTTCACATAATATATGTACGTATTTAGAAAAATAATATCTGTAGTATGGTTATACTCGACGTTTGTTCACTGGGTCATATGTTGAACACAGACACATACTTTCAACTTTGACTGAAAGGCACATTATCATTGTCCTTATATAATAAATAGGTGTGGCTTATGATCTAGAGCTTAGACATTTATGCGGTTATTGGGTCTTACTAGCACAAATATAAGCTTATTACTCTTTTATTTATTGCAGTTTTTTTTCTGAATAAAATTTTAAAAAATTGACATAAAATTGTTTTTTATGTACTATAGTTAAACATTCAATTTTTTTCCATTTAAAGAAAACTATTTATTTAGTTTTATTACTTAACATTAGGGTGTGTTACCAATGAGATGATGGAGTTATTTTCTTATTTAAATAAAATAAGAGAGATGTGTGTATTCAAGTTCATATGGACCGTGTTCCTGTTTTCCTCATTTCAGAAAGTTTCATCATTTACTTTGTCTTCCTTTGTTATATGAGAATCGTAAATTCTAACTTTAATGATTCTCTTTTTGTCATTTGCTATCGTTATGTGCTGTAGTTGCTGAACTATTCTCAATTACATTTTATTATAGGCCAGCTAACCTTGTCGCATATATATCTGTGTGACATTGGACATGTTGTGTTGTTTTATTTGTGAAAGGTGTCTGAACATTTAACTTTATCATTTGTACTATGTATATAATATGGTCGGCCTTGCCTATTGTGATGACCCAACCGAGCTATATTGGCTGGAACATTTGCTCCTGAAGGTTCTACCATGCCAGGCAGGTCGATTGGAGAACGATGAGACTAAAAGCAGCTACTCATCGTCTGAGGGCGAAGTCGTACTGCTGACTTCAGAGGGGTGTGACAGCAGTAAGGTGTTTCCCTCGGACAACCGGCATCTGCAGCGATGCTGCCTTCTCACAAGGAAGGAAATGATTAGAAAAGGTCGGCCCTAAAAGTGTCGCACCTCACCCTACCTCACGGATTTCCGTCTCCGTCGGTAAGGGT